CCCCAAAACCCCAAAACCCCAAAACCCCATCATCCTCATTTATGTTCTTTAGATATGATTTGTAAAAGATTTTTAATAAAAGTATAATTATTTATTAGATCTAGATTATAAAAATGTCATTGGAAATAAAACTAGACAGAGCTAGCAAGTTTTATGAGCCTGGAGTAATTATAGATATTTCTAAGATAATGCTTTAGGAAAAAGTTACTGGCTATATTACAATTATTGACAGTCAAAGTCAAATATAGCATTCTGGAATAGTTGTAAATGCTGAGGGATATATGGATACTGTCTCAATTATCAGAGGAAATATTGGAAGACCCCCAATGAAGGATGAGGATAGAATTTACTTCATGAAGAAGAAATTCACTTTAAGTGATGGTGGAAAGCTAAACACATCTACGCCTATTCCTTTTGAATTTATTTTAGAAGCAAATGAAAAAGGTGAAAGTCTTATTGATGCCTATGTTGGAGTCGAGTTCTCTATAGTTGTAAAAAATTTATTGATATGACAATAACTTTTAGTATGAAGTTCAGATCACACTAAATAAGGGAGGCAAGACACTTAAAGGCAATGAGAAATTCTACTGCGCTGTCCCAGTAATGCAACTCTTCTTGATAATAGTGTTTAGGGTGCTGGAATAGACACAACGATAGGGAGAAGAGACATGCCAAAGGAGTTCGCTATTTCGCCAGATAACCTAGAGGCCTCCACTTTGAAATCTGTTCCAAAGTTTAAGTTTGAAGGTCAGATCTACAGTGTGAACTGTGCCTTCTAAGAACCATTTGATGGCTATATTATTACTAGGGATTCAGAGTATGTCATAAAATCTATTGAGGTCTAGCTGGTAAGAGTAGAGACTTTCGAGGGTAAGACATTCGCCACCGAGGTTCAAAACATTCAAGTTGCTGATGGAGACGTTATTAGAGATATGGAGATTCCACTATACATGCTTTTCCCAAAAATCTACTCTTGCCCAACAGTTATTCATGCTAAGTTTTCAGTAATAAACCTAATTCATTAACGCCTTACTTTAGATTGAATTCCAAATCAATATCATTGTTATCTTTGTGAATGGATATTAGTTGACAGAAAACTTCCCTATCAGGATTTACCGATGATCAATCAAATATACCAAAATAGTCTAGACATAATTTCTAACAATTCAAAACTATTCTGTGTTAATAAAGTGATTTGGAATGTTTTAAAGTGATTTTAAAATTTAATAGCATTATAAAATAATATAAACCGTACACCCGGATATTAAATAATCGTTCATCTAATGCAATCATTCTTTAGAAAAGCATACACTAGTTTATCTGCTGCTCCAGCAGCCTCCAAGACAAATCTATTGAAAAATATGACAATGGGCAGAGCTTTAAACCAAAGCAAAATGATGATACAATCTTAGAATCTCATGAACTCAGCTATTACCAGAAGAGCATTCTCCATCATTGACACTAAGATCATGAGAAATATAGGTATTTCAGCGCATATTGACTCGGGAAAGACCACAATCACCGAGAGAATTCTCTTCTATACAGGAAAGATTGATGAGATTCACGAGGTTAAGGGAAGTGACAATGTAGGTGCTACTATGGACAGCATGGAGCTAGAAAGAGAAAAGGGTATTACCATTAAGAGTGCTGCCACTCATTGCGAGTGGAAGGATCATCACATCAACATCATTGATACTCCAGGTCACGTCGACTTCACCATCGAAGTCGAAAGAGCTCTAAGAGTGCTTGATGGTGCTATCTTGCTAATCTGTGGTGCTTCAGGTGTCTAACCTCAGACATTAACTGTAGATAAGCAGATGAAGAGATATAGCGTGCCAAGAGTTATTTTCATTAATAAGCTAGATAGAATGGGAGCTGACCCTTGGAATTGTATTGAAAACGTCAGAGAAAGACTTGGTCTTAACTGCGCTGCTGTCCAGGTCAACATTGGTGTTGAAAATGGACTCTAAGGTATTTGTGATCTTGTTAAAATGAAGGCTCTCTATTTTGAGGGTGAAAAAGGAAGAGATGTAGTAGAAAGAGAAATCCCTGATGACTTAAAGGAATTTTGTGATAAAAAGAAACAAGAGCTTATCACAATTTTAGCTGAAAACGATCCCACTATTGAGGAATACTATTTGAATGAAGATTTCAATATTCCAATTGATGTCCTTAAGAAGAGCATTAGAGAGTAGACTATTGCATAGAAATTCTGCCCAGTTATGATGGGATCCGCTTATAAAAATAAAGGTGTTTAGCCACTCTTAGATGGTGTTTTAGACTATTTACCTAATCCAGAGGAGTCAAATAACTACGCTTATGATATCTAGGATAAAACAAAGAAAGTAAAGATGGATATTGACAATAAGAAACCCTTTGTCGGATTAGCATTCAAATTAGAAGAGAGTTAATTCGGGCAAATTACCTACGTAAGAATCTATCAAGGCAAGGTCAAGAAAGGATCTACCTTAAACAACACTGCCACCAAGAAGAAGGTTAAGATCTCTAGAATGGTTAGAATGCATTCAAATAACATGGAGGATATTAGTGAGGCAGGAGCAGGCGATATTTTCGCTATTTTCGGAGTAGACTGCGCTAGTGGTGAGACTTTCTGTGATTAGAGTGTTAACTTTACTATGGAAGATATGCATGTTCCAGAACCAGTCATGTCCCTTACTATCAGACCCAAGAAGTAAGATCAACTCGAGATCTTCTTGAAAGCACTTAACAGATTCTAAAGAGAAGATCCAACATTCGTAGTCAAGTAAAACTAGGAAAGTGAAGAAATTATCATTTCAGGTATGGGAGAGCTTCATCTTTTCATTTATTGCGAAAGAATGAAGAGAGAGTATGATATTGATCTCGCAGTTGGCAACCCAACTGTAAACTATAGAGAAACTATTTCTTAAAAAGCTCAGTTCAATTTTCTTCACAAAAAGCAATCAGGTGGTGCAGGTCAATTTGCTAGAGTTATTGGCTATATTGAACCACTTAATAGCGATATGGACAGTTAAGATGCTGATTTATCTTGCTAATTCGTTGATGGCACCGAGGGTCAAAACATTCCCAATGAATATATTCCAGCTGTCGAAAAAGCGTTCCATGAATCAACTAAGAAAGGTCCATAAACAGGATATCCAGTAGTAGGAGTTAAGTATGTTTTGACGGATGGTCAAACTCACGTAGTCGACTCAAGTTCATTAGCCTTCGCTATTGCCACTAGGTATTCATTCAAGGAAGCTTATGAGAAGGCAGGACCATAGATTTTAGAGCCAGTTATGAATGTTGAAGTCACAGTGCCAGCTGAGTTTCAAGCTTCTATTATGGGTCAATTAGTTAGAAGAAGAGGATCCATTACCAACACTCAAACTAAAACAGGCTACTTTATTCTCAACGCAGATGTACCTCTTGCTGCTATGTTTGGTTATGCTACAGAGCTCAGAGGTTGCACTCAAGGTCAAGGAGAATTCTCCATGGAATATAAAATGCATTCTCCAGTTGGTGAATTCGAAATCAAGGACATTATAGACGCTTACCAAAGGAAGAGAGCTGAGAAAGGCGAAGACATTTGAAATTACTTATGTTTTGATAGAAACACAACAATCTAACTTAAACCTATAAGATGTAATTAATTTATTAACTTCCTAAATTCAAAGAGCTTTGAGTACTTTTATGATATCTAGGGGTTTTGGGGTTTTGGGGTTTTGGGG